GGGGGGGGTTTAGTTATCATGTAAAAAGTAAAAAGCATCATACATTTAACACTTCGATTTTCAAAACTTTGAAGAAAGTATTTTTTTATTTTAAAAGTGAGGGAGGTGAACAAGAAAACTTAAATCCAGTAGCAGTAGTCACATATTCTAGAAATTTCTGTTATTAAATAGGCCTAATATTATAGGGCCTAAACATAAAGATCCATCTCCTTTATAATTGAGTATTTTATGTTTTTTCTAATATTTCTATTGGAAAAGAGTTCCGCAGAGGGCGGGCCGACCAACAACACACAAAAGAGGGGATCATATTTTGAGCGAGATATATACAAAAAAGCCGGGTTCAGTATTTTGGAAAATATAGTGGCTATGAGAGAAACCTCCCCCCTTTGTTGGTATTTTTTATTGGTTTTGCACCCACCTGCTGCACCCCCACCCCCTCCAAAACAGAAGTCCGTTATTCTCAATAGTCGACAGAAAAAGGTAGGTATAAAATGGTGGATTCCACCCGACTCGAATTTGTCCTTGACTGGAGCTGTCAAATGTGCTTTGCTCAAAAAAAGGTAGCTTGCCTAGTTTGCAAATAATATACAAATTTAAAATGTAAGTCATCAATTGGATTTATTCTATAAGTGCACCAACTCTTGTATAGTTTGCTCTGTGGACCTTGTCACAGTAAGTGCCGGCCCTCTGCGGAACTATTCCCTTGGCTTATATATTGAAATTGACCTTATTTTAATACATCTATATGTAGTTGAAGAAGTAGAAGATAAAAGAAAACGTCCACTATAGACTATTACACTATATAATATAGACTATAGATCTAAAATTCTTGATCTAGATCTAGTCTAAAGTTTAAAGTTAAAGCCAAACATGAACACTAATAGATCATAGAATTTATCATCTAGTTATGTTATACTCAGTCATAGTAGTATAAAATGATGCACTGTGAACTGTGGCCATGGTGTGACAGTTAAGTATCATAGTACATATACTCGTGGTTTGTGGTCGTGGTCAGGCACTACACTAGAGTACTACTATTAAGTTTAGTACAGGCTGTCGTTATTCTCACCCGGGATGAAAATAAAAATATACGATATCCATTTTATTCTCACCCGGAATATATTATTCTCAACCAGATTGAGAATGCCATGGATTTTTATTCTTACCTGGGTGTTGAGAACAGGTAGGATAGATCTACATGTAGGCTAATACTAATAAGATGATAGAAAATAATTACTGAAATATAAGATCAGTGACCGTTCGGGACATGCCCCCGAGCTGCAGATTTTTTTTGGCTCCCATGGGGAATGTTAGCGTTTCATTTTTAAAAATCTTGAGAGTATGCACGCATATCTTCACCAAAACCCTAGACAAGTGTATAATATTCTAAATTCAGAAAGGAAGTTACTTGCCAGAGTAGTATGTTTTAAAAAATAGCCTTAACTGAAGCTGTTTAATCAAATAATGTTAGTAATAGTTATGTTATTGCAATGTTAGAATTGGATTTGGGCACTCTTCGGGAGAAGGGGTCGCAGCCTAACTAAATAGACATTTATACAAAAAATCGGAAACAAAAACGGAAGTCGAGTAAAAAACCTGAACTGAGTTGCCTGCCAAACCTATTTGAGACTATTTTCAGCACTACTCTAACGGGGGTTTTTTTGTGTGCTGAGAACAATTTTGGCACTAAAAACTGCCACAAAGTATTTTTTTGTGAATTTAGCAGGAGGGAGACCCCCCACCCCCTTTTTTTTGAAAGGCAACTTCTGGTTTTGTTTCCGATGTGTGCATAATGTATAGATCTAAATGTCTTAGGGAGTTAGGCCGGGACCACTTCTCCCGAAGAGTACCTGGATTTGTTTACAACACACATATTATCCCTAACAGAATCCACGAAGACATGCAGTGCCTTGACCCTCGGCTTATAAATTTATTTTCTTGATTTTGATTGGAGTAAAATTTTCCATTACAGAACCAATATGCAACTATTAAAAGCTGACGCTATATTTGCTCAAAAGATAAGATTTTCCCCCAAACCGACAATACAATATATAATAGTCGTCTCCCTCGCTCGAGAGCTGGTCCGCCCGTTGGTGATTTTATTCGCCTCCCACTCTCAGCAGAGTGAGAGAGGGATCCGGGCGACTTTTGTTGTCCTATGATGCCCGAAACGTATGTATAGGTATAGGGCGTTGTATTGTAACTATTGTTATTCTCACCCTATCCATGATTTTATCTGGGAAGATTGAAGAATGACGGACCACTCGTATTATAATTGCGCGAGAATGGAGGGGGGGGGGGGGGGAGCTGGAGGAAAGAGGGGTGGGGGTTGGGGGTTCAGGGGGGTGGGGACAAATTGTTAATGAATAGATCTACCGGTCCGAGATTCTCCAAGAATATTAAAAACTGGGGAAAAATCATGAATTCCTAACCTACGGTTGAGACATAGGCAAGAGCAGTAGTTCCAGTCCGCTGGTCCGGTATTCTTCAATCTTACCCTAGATCTGCATAAAAAAATTAAAGTTTGCAATATTGATAAGTCATGTCAAATTGTAAGTAGATACGCACAGCTTCTCGAGCTTGGTTAGCCGTTCGTATGGCTTGGTAACTGAGTTCCGTCATCTCTCATCCCGGTGGCGTCGTCGGTCGCGAAGACATACAAACATGGTGGACAAGATCTCGTTGGACAGTGACAAATTCGAGAAAGTGATAATACAAAACCAACCTTTGCTTTTGTTTATTACAATTGAATTAATCCTGAAAATAGTATATTGAATAAATATATGGCTTTCGTAAGGGGAAAACAAAATAGAAAAAAAAATTAGAACCACGTAGAAAGAGGTGTCATCGAATTGCCAACTCGGTGTTTCTTTGGGAAAGAAACAAAAAAGACCAACTCAAACTGTTCTTTTTAGAATATGTGTTGAATATTCTTTGTATAGAGCTTCTTTATCACGAATAAAATGTATAATTCAAAAGAAAAGCTTCAATTCTTTTGAAATGTAATGTGCATGTAATAACCATCTTGAGCAATGTATGCGTTTTCCTGATGTCTGAAGGAAGACCTACAGTGGTCTTACAGATCAACTTGCCACAGTAGTCTTTACACATTAGTTTTACCTGGCATATTATTCTGAGTCAAAATTGTACACACACACACAGTCACACAGCTGAACTGTTCTTGTGGAGCGTATCAGGCTGAAGAATCAGCTGCTTACTTTTCCCCGTAAGTTGTTGATAAAGTCCAGCTTCGAGTCGGGGATTATGGACACAAATATGGAGTGATTGGATGCCTTGTACTGTTCAATAATATTATTATTTACCTCCCCAGTAACAACTCAGTACAGTCTTAGTCTAGATCTATAAGATCTAATCTAGATTCTAGATCTAGATATATAGATCTAGATCTAGATCTAGATCTAGATCTAGATCGTGACTCTTAGTTTAGTAGGCCTACTGCTATTATTGACTGTCTCTCTTCTATTATCTTTCTTCAACGTCTTCATACTTCAACTTCAATTCCTGTCTCTTCTTACTTTTGTCTTAGTCCCTGTCAAAGTTAAATCATTCTACTATTAGTAGAAAAGAAAGTGGCTATTCTCACCCGCCCGGAAGTTCTCGCAAGATCAACTCCTCCCCTCTTCTCTCTCTCTCTGTCTCTTTCTGAATACTGTCTATCGGTGTCGACGATCAAATTGACCAAAACAAAGTTAAAAAATGATGTTAAAACACAAAAGTAAATGAATTTGGTTGTCTACAAAGATGCTTCGGCTATTTAACTTTTCGAATCGAGCCGAACTACGCGGGTCGCCATTTTGTTTTGCCCGGAAATTCTCGCGCTACTCCTCTCTCTCTTTCTCTCTCTCTCTCCACTGCCCACAGACAAAATTGTACGCTTTTAGTAGGCTACAGTTGTAATGGAACGTTTGTTCACGGCACAGAATTCTCCAATTTTTCTGTTATCACCACAGTGTAGAATTCTGTGGTTTAGGGTGAACGCAAAATTTGGTAAACGCGCGCCGGGTGAGAATAGCCACAAGGCTCGCCTGCACTATTCTCACTCCGGGTGAGAATAGAGGTGGCCATTAGAAAATCAAATGTTCATGTACTCGTAGACTTGATCTTTTACAGGCTTCTTGAGCATTGAGGCTATCATGTGTACGGCCCTCCACTTCACTGACTTCACATTATAATAAAAGCCATAAAACCTGCTAGACTTCAAATCGCACACTACAACACAAGTGGGCCCTTTCACCAGTCACAAGCGTTGAAGACTGGCATTTTGAGGGGTATTTCAATAAAGGCCACCTCTATTCTCACCCGGGGTGAGAATAGGGCGCTTTTTCCGTAGTTCCCACCCCGCAATTTTATTCACGGGTTTGGGCCACAAGAGTAGGGGGGTTTCAGGGGGGCTTGCCCCCCTGACCTAATAAAAATAGGAAGGGGAGTTTCAGGGGGGCATGCCCCCCTGAATTTTACCATAATTTAATGTTTTGCAGTTGTTAGGTTTGATATCTTAGCTCACCGCGAATATCTAGATCTAGATGTAGGTCAGGCTCAAATAAGGGGGGTGGGAACTACCGAAAAAGCACCGAGAATAGTGCAGGCGAGTCTTTTGGCTATTCTCACCCGGTGCGCGTTCACCGTTATAGCCTAGATCTAGGCCAACAAATTTTGCGTTCACCCTAAACCACAGAATTCTACACTGTGATAACAGAAAAATTGTAGAATTCTGTGCTGTGAACAAACGTTCCATTACAACTGTAGCCTACTAAAAGCGTACAATTTTGTCTGTGGGCAGTGGAGAGAGAAAGAGAGAACAAAACAAAATGGCGGCCCGCGTAGTTCGGCTCGATTCGAAAAGTTAAGTAGCCGTAGCATCTTTGTAGACAACCAAATTAATTTACTTTTGTGTTTTAACATCATTTTTAAACTTTGTTTTGATCAATTTGATCGTCCACACCGATAGACAGTATTCAGAAAGAGACAGAGAGAGAGAGAGAAGAGGGGAGGAGTAGATCTTGCGAGAACTTCCGGCGAGTGAGAATAGCCACTTTTTCTTCAATAAATCACCACAACTCTCAGAATTACCCTATTGTAAGTATTTTTTGACACAGTAAAGTAACATTCAAGCTTAATCTAATACAAAAAACTAAAGTTGTCTAAGTCTAATACTTTAATTTGTATGATTTTTTAAAAATTGTCATGAATTTGATTTTCGGAAAAATTTCCAGAGACGTGACAAGTAGAATGAAATTCACTACAACAACAAAAATAAAAGTTCAAAGTGTTCTGGTTTGATTTGTATACACGTGCGAGTGTTTGGTGAAAATATAAAAGCTGGTCTGTGCATTGATTCAGATCCATACACTGAATTACATGAGACAGATGTACGGCACGACGTTGTTATTTCGTTGCGCGAAAAACAACACCGGTACTAGTGCTAGATCTAGCCCTAGAACTACGACTCGGGCCGTGTTCGGGTACATATCCAGGATCCTAACTATTAGACACATCATATTCTGAGACACTAGAACTAGTAAAACGTACAGAAGTATAGAAAACGGCGAAGTTATGTGGTTCTTATTCATATGCGACTTCTTCGACCGTTTCTACGACGCGACTGTCGGATTACTATCAGCCGTATAGAAAAAAACAAAGCGCGAGTTCCGGTCTGTTCAACCCCAGTTGGGGTCACTGTCCTTCACCTTCAATAACTTTAAAACTACTGGCCCCAGAGATACGAAACGAAGTCTAAGTAGCTCAGGCTTGGCCAAACAAGGGTACGAGGCGGGTCTCGCGATCCGTGCGTGATTTGTAGAGCGGAAAAAAAATTCCAAAGTTGGTCACGCAGGGCTTGTGAGACCCGTTGCGAGCGTCGCGGCGGGGGTCACGCAACTGTTGTGTGAACCGTCTGAAGTGAGTTAACCCTGGGCCTGGAAGCGCGCAGGCCTATATATCTATATATATATATATATATATATAGGGCTGACCTACTTCGACCGGGAAGCACAACAATGGGAAATTTCAGTATTCCTTAATATGATAGGCCGGCTCTATTTCTCCGTACGTTCGTGAAAATAAACTTTAACTCTATTTCTCTGAACGGTTTCCATTCTCGAGGTTTGTTGATAATAATTACGAATGGAGTGGCTGGTATGTGTGTAGGCCACCTCTATTCTCAACCGGGGTGAGAATAGTGCAGGCGAGTCTTTTGGCTATTCTCACCCGGTGCGCATTCACCATTATAGCCTAGATCTAGGCCAACAAATTTTGCGTTCACCCTAAACCACAGAATTCTACACTGTGATAACAGAAAAATTGGAGAAATCTGTGCCGTGAACAAACGTTCTATTACAACTGTAGCCTACTAAAAGCGTACAATTTTGTCTGTGGACAGTGGAGAGAGAGAGAGAGAAAGAGAGAGAGGAGTAGCGCGAGAACTTCCGGGCAAAACTAAATGGCGACCCGCGTAGTTCGGCTCGATTCGAAAAGTTAAATAGTCGTAGCATCTTTGTAGACAACCAATTTAATTTACTTTTGTGTTTTAACATCATTTTTTAACTTTGTTTTGGTCAATTTGATCGCCTGATCTAAGATGGAAAGTTACAAAATCTCCACAGTTGCCTTTTGATAAGTTCCGCTCTATTACTATGCGGACTTGTAAGTCAAGTGTTGTGGCAATTTTCCAGAATTTTTTAAATTTTGACTCCAACCGACTTTTTTCTGCCCTGGTCAGCCATTTCCAACCAAACATCTCCAACAGGCCAAAATTGTCATGGGAAATTGTTTAGTTCAGCAAATCTAGGAAGAGTATACGAACTGACAAAAACCAACAAAATGCTTTGGTGGTTGCCATTTGCTTTTTCCCAAATAGGACACCAAAAACACTGAAAGTGATTGTTGGGTATTCGAAATGCTTGAAGATTATTATTGAGGCTGTGTTTTGGTGTGTTTTGTGAAGATAAGTCGTGATCCTTGCTCTGCTGTTATTTTAGCTGTCCTGTCCTTCTCTTAGTTGGCTCTTAAATCTTGTTTTGGCCAGAAAAGTTAAATTTTATTGGATTTTGAAAACCACTTTCATTGCGACTCAGTGACTGTAGATCAAGCTCCTTGTTCTTTGCTCTGAGTCTGAGACAATACAGGGTAAATATTTGTTTTCATCATGTTAATGTCAGTAACACTGAGGCCAGTGTGAAAAACAATTGTAATTGGACATCCAGAGTTTACCCCATGCTGTACTGATCCATATATTATGTTCATTGTTCTTCTCTTTCAGCGTCTGTACCTCGGCATTCGCTGCCCCTTCTGGCCACTCATGACATTATCTGCCTAAGGTTACTACTACTCGAGTATACTGCCTAAGCGTGTCAGTGACACTGACCCTTTGGCTGCCCTTTCAGATGTCTTGCACTTCACAGAATTTTGCAAAAATCTTTTCCTCTTTCATCCATTCTGTCCCTCTAAGCAGACATGTGCGTACAGTTCTTCCCACTTTGTCATTCATTAGGTGCTGATTATCGGCGCTGACTCTCAATTACACTTTCACCTAAGCTGTCTTGTGGCGTTCTACCATGTGTGAGAGGTCCAGGAGATGGCGCATAGCCTTGCAGGATGTGTCTGCATACTTTCATTATGAATTCTTTCAAAGTGTTTCTGCTGCGATGTTGACATGGTGAAGAGACAGAGGCCATAGTCTATCACCGACAGCACAAGAGTCTGGCTCAGTGTGGCTAAAATTCTCTGTGGCATTCTGTTAAAACACGCCATGGTTTTCAATGCAATCAGACCTTTAATGACTTTTGTGTTGATCGTGGTTACGTGATCGTTCCTAGGGAGTGATATATTGAAAGTAATATCTAGATACCTCAGTGAGTGCTCATGCAGCATGCTTCAGGACCCTGCTGTTGATGGTGACTGGGCATCTCTGCTTTCACTGCGTGATTATTCAGTGAGCACCACAGCAAATAGGCCGTGTCAGTTTGGAGTTTGCCGTTGTGGCCGACACACCATTGCCCAATTCGATCCAGCTCCTGTTGCACTGTGTTAGCTGTTTCTTGCTGGTCCTCCCCCTGACTGTATACAAGGACATCATCCACAAAGCTCAGCACACACCCTGGGCGTTCCAGTTATCCTGAAGTGATTCCAGTGTATATGTTGAATAACACTGGTGCGAGTACTGACCCCTGCAGCAACACTGGTGGGATGCTTCTTATGTCAAAAGTCCAGTTTCCCAGTCGCATTGCAACTCTCCTCTTCAGCAGTGCCTCACCTACCCATATCACGAGCAGGCTGATCATTGTTCTCAAAAGGACATCATACTCAACCCCATAGTAGGCATCCTCAAGGCCAAGCGCTGCTGCTATCAGTCTCCTCACCTCGTTCAAACCCATCATAATCATCTAATACTAGGACAGCGATGTGGAGATATGGGTGAAGCTGTGCAATCAAGTTTATCCAGAAGGCACATATATATAATATATGTATATATATTGACTTTTTGTTTTGTACTAAATTTTCATAGCCTTGTTGGTACTTTTCTGTATTTCCAGAGTCAGAGCCTGACTACTTTACTGAAAGGATTCCATGATGATGGAAGAGGCGTGTGAAGAGCAGCCAGAAATGGTGTCTCATGAAGAAGCCGTACAGGCAGAGAAAGAAGCTACTGCAAGCTTACCCCCATCTGTTGGCAGTAGGTGTATTATTTTGCTTTAGTCTTCATTAACATTTTACAAACATGTTGGATCTGTAATTGTACACTTTTAAATTGTGAAATTAATTTGTCTATAAATCTCATAGTGATCAAGAATTATTTTTTAGTTCACTGAAATGTTAACTTATTAGAAAGTTCTGTGCCCAAAGTTTGTACATGATTTCTCCCCCACTCCCCCTTGTCCTCAGAAAGTTGATACTGGTAGTATTATAGCAAGAGATCATATAATTGATGCTAAACACTTCATCATTCATTTTGCATTTCAACATTTTATTTTCTAAGCCACACCTCCCAAAGTTCAAGTTCCACCTACATTAGAAGCTCCATCTCCTCTACCAGCATTTTTGACGAAAACAACCTCCTCATCTCCAGGGGTAAGAAAGACGGTGTTTGTGTAGAATGTTATGTGATGTTAATGGATAAGAAAGTAAAATTGTGAAACCATGGCATAAGCCATGATGATCCTAATTAATGTTGTCTCTTAGACTTTTGTATTCTTCTATTTGTATTATAATGACTTTTCCTTCTGATAATTATGAAGATATTGTGATATTTGTGCAGTATTGGGGGGGGGCATATTCCTGTAATTTACATGCTTAATCTGTTATCTGAGGACCATATGGCAACAAAGGTTAAACAGATTTCTTTTTGCATAAATTGTGTATTTATATACTTTGAATATTTCTTTTGAAAACTCAAGTTCCTGAATGCTGCAATGCAACATGAATTTTAAGGAAAAGGAACTTGTATTTGATACCCGTGTTCACTTAATTTACAGACAATGTCCCTGAACTTACAAATAAATTATTTGTTGTTGTTATTATCAATCCAACAACAATAAGTTTTCGTATATAGAAAACACTATCCTGTTCAAGCTATAATATAGTAAGCTAGTCTTTATGTGACTCATTTGGTCTGCTATGCCAGCAACGTATGTATTGTTCTACATCATAGAGTGTTAAAGCATATATGTGTTGCCACATGGATATAGAATATCATAAGCAAGCAGTCCCCATGCTAAAAATTACCGACAGTCCTGATGACTGCTTATATGTGTAGAAGGATTTATTTATATTATGTTTTTTCAATATATGTCATTTTGTATTCAATATTTTTACAAAATTGGTGTGTGTGTGTGTGTGGGGGGGTTGTTACACACTCTTTAAAATAATTTAGGTATTCGTTTCTACATAATAGAAATCCTGGGGTTTGTCGTTGTTTGAAATTTTAGGTGCTCAGTCAGCAATTAGATTGGTTTCATTGAATTCTTTTCTCATGCGTCATAGACACCACAGACACCAGTTACAAAATCTTCAACTCCAAGCCAACCTGTCAGGTCCCCAGTGTCATCAGCTGCCCCAGGTAAGTTAGTGTTTGAAGGAAATGTCTAGTTTTCATTCTTTTTAAGTCTTTTTGTACTCACTGACTGCCAGGGGTTGAATTTATGATGTAATCCTGGCTGTTGACGTTTCAAGGGTGTTTAACCCTTAACTCTAGTCCTGCGGGGTTAACCGGAAGAGGGCTCTTATGGATCGATGACCCACTTGCGTCGCCCGCGAGCTTGTGCCGCGGGGCGCCAGGGTCAGACACCGGTCAAGCAAGCGTGCCGCGGCAGGTCAGGGAAACACCTAGTTTCGCTGAAATTATTGAAGGGGGTGTGTCTAATTGGAATGAAATACAAGCAGTTTGTACTCTGGAAGAACATAGAAGTTGTACTTTTTTGGAACTGAAATGAATGAAGAATGTTATTTCAGATTCTTTGGGTGGAAGTTAAGCTTTGGTAATTATTTACTGCAGTTAAAAGATTTTAAAAAGGAGAAAGGAAGAAAAAAAAGGTGGATTTTGTTGTTAGTTCTGTAATTTAGTGGGGGGGGTTTTTAAACAGAAAAAAGAGGTGAGAACTTTGAGAGCTTTCCCTTTCTTTTTTTTTTTTACGTAGTACTGCAGTTGGCCATCCATGCAGTTCAGGCATGAATGTTCACCTCTAAGCCACGATGAGGCCCGGTACTTCCGATTTCGTTAGGGGGGGGGTTGTCCTAAAAAGGACAGTTCGTTGTCCTGAAAGGGACAGTTGGCCTAGTCTGAAGAGGAACTGCGTGGGGAGGATTCAGCTGAGTTGTCAGAGGGAGAGGCTTCAGTTGAGTCGTCAGAGGGAGAGACTTCAGTTGAGTCGTCAGAGGGAGAGGCTTCAGTTGAGTCGTCAGAGGGAGAGGCTTCAGTTGAGTCGTCAGAGGGGGAGGCTTCAGTTGAGTCGTCAGAGGGGGAGGCTTCAGTTGAGTCGTCAGAGGGAGAGGCTTCAGTTGAGTCGTCAGTGCCTTGGAGTCTGCGGTAGGCCCTCTTGTAGTCCTTCTTTGAGTGGTACAGCTCGAAGCATGGCATGAGGCAGAGGCCTACATTGCAGTGGACGCACTCAGCTATCGCTTCCTTCCTCTTCCGACCATCACCCGCGGCTTTCCTCTTTCCTGTGCTGGTGGTGCAAACAATGCAGAGTCGAGTGGCAGGTCTGACCTTTTTCCCTGGTTGCTCTACGGTGCCAGCACGACGAGGGACTCTGCTGGGGAAGTGCCTGGCTGTAAGACGATGTATTGAAGAATCTCCAGGCTGGAGGCTGGTGCGTCTTGAAGGCTTTTGAGGGGTAATCTGTCTCGCCATCTCCTTGGCCAGCTCTCGCTTGAACATACGGTGACTGATGGGCTGTGCAGTCGACTCTTTGTACAGCAGGTAGGCGTTGAGCTCTGCTAACATAAAGAAGTGGAAAAAAACTTTCTTCCACCACTTCAGTGTCTTCCGCTTAAATGAGTTGTACTGGACCATCTGATCCGACCTGTCGACAGCTCTCTGCTCCCTGGTGGCTCTGTCTGCCCGTCCCGTGTCGCTCATACCGCCAGAGTGGATGGATGTCAAGATGTTGACTTCGCGTCGATCCATGAACTTGATATGATTCATCGTTCCCGTTGTCATGAGCTTTACTTCTCCCTTCTTGTTCAACACCTTTTTCCCCGCCATCTCCTTCGACAGTCCCTTCCTGTTGAGTCTGACAGTGCCGCATGCTGTTGTCTTGTTGGTAAGTAGGTCTATCAGGAGGACTGGGGCAGTGTAGAAATTGTCGATGTATAGTCGATGTCCACACCCCAGGTAGGGAGACAGCAGCCTCATCACGGTGTCGTAAACTGCTCCCTTGTAGTATTCTTCGAGGTCAAAGGCATGACCGTTCTAGCCTTGTAAGAATTTCCACTTTTCTCCTCGAAAATGGGTGGCTGTCTTGGACAAGTTTGACTGTATTTTAGATTGACATCTTTTTTTTGTGTGTGTGTGCAGAACAGAATGCCATATTGTCGTGATGATGGCTTATCGTATCAACGGGTAAAAGAGAGCATGCTCCCAGTGTGAAATGTTGAAATCTGACTCTGGAAATCATTCCTTGTGTGCCCAAGTATTGATTGGCTATTACTCCTGTCCCCAACCCTCCCAGAATCTCCACAGATTCCCCATGAGGGAAAGAGTGAAGTGCCTCCACCCCAGCCTGCCCCAGAGCAAGAAATTGTCAAGCCTCAGGGTGGTGGTCAGGGTCTCTTTGGGTGGATCTCGGGCAACAGTCTAGTCAACAAAATGGTGGAGAAAACAAAGGTACCAAAAACTAAATTTTCAAGTAGCTGTATGCTAATTTTATCTGTTCCATATGAAAGGCCTATGTCTCCTAAGATTTTTTGGTACCATTCTTTAACTTTTCAGTCAATGTTTTAAAAAAAGGTAGCTGTTAAAAATTTGATCAAATTTGCTAAAGTTGCTAACTGGCTGCAACTCCATGTTTGACAGATAATAAAAGAGTACCAAGTGCACCAAACATCTCCACATTAATAGAGTACAGTCACTATAACATAGATATGGAGCCTAATTTTTTTCAAGACAGTAAGATCATTACAAATTCTCAAACACAATGATCTGTCTTTATTTCGACAAAAATGCCGTGCACTGACCCGGTTGGGACATCGTCTCTATACTGTAGTGTACCGAGTGCTCCCCGCGAGGGAGGTCACATGCTTTCTGAGTTTCGGGTAAGGATTGATGCAAACTAATTCCAAGCCGATTACATTAATCTATTAGAAAATTAACTGATCTTTCTATTGGTACCTTTTTTTAGCCGGCATTTTACATATTTAGGTAAAAAATGATCTTTGAAAACTTTGGCGGTATTTTTAAAAGCTTTCTATTTAAAAGCCAAAGGCCAAAATATAACAGGGGAAAGCACGTACAAAGCTGTTCAGTTCTATGCCAATGAAAAGACGGTATTTAATCATCAATCTTTCCGCTAAGCATTTGAATGCACATATGTCAATTTTTGAACCTGCCGACCATGCATTCCGACCGCGAGGGGCTCTGCTTTCCACGCTGATTCTCCAGCTCCAAATTATCAGACATGTGAACAACTTACACCATTGAAACGAGGAAAAGCTGAACTTTTACAAGGTGTACAGTATTTGGGTTTTTTTATAGCGAAAGAGCAAAGAAACAGCGATCTGAATGACCCCGATTTTACTGATACCCTACGCTCGGAAGGCAGCGAGTGCCCACGAGGCCGTGTTTACGCTACTTAGACATATGTGATATTTAGTCAAAGTAGCCTGTGTTTTCTTTAGATTTCTTTTTTCTTCTTTGCATCCTGGGGATATTGATGAGCTGTTTGTAGTTCAACTTTTCTTTAGATTCCTGCAAACCAGTGTTATACAACTACAGAATATTTTTAAGATATCTTGTTTCAACAATTTGGGAACATCATCGCTGACAAATAACCCATAGACCAGGATTAAAAAATAGCCTTGTAAATTTAAATAGTTAATCAAGAAATCACCAATGAGCAATTTGCACAATGCTTGAAATTGTTGTATTTTCACATAAATACCCCTTTTGGGCCACTCTCATAAGCAGTCTCAAGCACTGATTATGTAAGCTAACAGTTTAAACTGGTAGAGTCTACCTCAAATAGGGGGGGGGGGGGGGGACTAACTCTTTATGATCCCATGACTGCTGTTAGTGCTTGCTTTTTTCTCAACTTTTCGCTGCCTTATTACCAGGTCATGGCATGTTTTATATATGGACTCATGGCTGCAAAAGGCAAGATCAAGTCAGCCAAATTTGAAACCAAACTGATATTACATTTGTCATCTCTGCTTCTTTGACTTCTGTTTTTGTATTCACAACTTAAGTTGCATTTATTGTTTTAAAATTTCTCACTGCGTTATTCAATTTTAAATGATTTTTTAAAGGGTTGATATATTATTCTTTTGTGTGTTTCAGAGTTCAATGGAATCTGTCATAACTACATTGGATCCTGGCATGAAACAAGTAATTAGTAAGTACCGTACATCACCAGCCTGTGGGAGACACATTGGAATAAACAAACCAACAATAAACTACACAACATCAAGCCCAAACTGGGTCTACAAAAACCTTCGGGCCTCCCCAGAAGAGATGAAGTCATTTTTACTCGATTACGTGTCAGACACACCTTCTTAACACATAAGTACCTCCTACATGGAGATGAAAAACCGTTTTGTGTTGGATGCGACACAGATTTTACCATTAGGCACATTTTAAGAGAATGTCAGGACTTTGGAGAGACCGAAGGAATCATTTTAAATGCAAAAAATTGCAATATCTGTTCTCCGTCACTGGTCCCAACAAAATACTCGATTTTATAAAGGCCATTTGACTTCTCGTAAAATTATAAAAACAGTTATTTTGATTTTAAGCAAGTTATCATTTTAAATTGTTATTTACCTCAAGTTTTTAACATTTGAAATCTGGTTTGAGCTAAGCCATGCAGTGAACTGTTGTGAATGCTACCAACTTGTGTTTTGCGTGTTCATTTGACCTTATGAAGTTGCGGACGTCGTAAAACTCTTACTAAACAGACAAGTAAGTACATCAAGGTCCTACTGTCAGAATTGATTTTCAGCTAAGCTCGTTACCCAGGACAGCAGTCTTGTGTCTCAGTGTTAATGGACTCACTTTCTAGATCTAGCCCCCTCGTGACATTCTTTAAACCCCAGGTCTTCGATCGTGTCACTCTTCTCATTTCTCTTATTCCCTCTGTCCCTCATCTTGTTCACAATTTCGAATAACCTACAAATCTAAGTCAAAATTTTCTGCCTTTCTTGAGTCATTTTTGTGTTTACGTTTTGCAAGAGCATTTAGCCATCCGCAAGACTAGATCTGCATTTATTGATCACTTGCAAGCCGAGTAGTAAAGTAATTCTAGCAAATTTGGTACCGATGTGCGCCATTTTTACTTTCAAATAGGAATGCAAGCAGTGTTTGTGGCAAGAAGTCTGTACAGAAGAATTAGAAGAGCCAGGTGATTAGCATGAGAACTGATATGTGCTATAAAAATCGGTTCATTCGTTTGGAATCACCCAGTATAATAAGAAGTAAAAAAATTTTGTGTTGGTAGTAAAACAAGTTTTCCTCCATTCTATTTTATCTTTTCACAGACTCAGGTGGTGATGTTGAAGTTGCTGTAACATCAACAAAAGACAACAAAGTCGTGCCTGTGAGAGAAGCTTTTCAGTCTGTGTTTGGGAAGGCAACTGTTACTGGAAAAGTAAGTAGTTAAAGTAGATTGAAACTTGCATGGAGGGGGAGCTGTATTGTTTTGCTTTCTGTAAAAGTAATGTGCACATGTATATTTAAACATTTTCCTAGAATAGTGTTTCCATTCTTTGTGTTTTGGAAAATACTATACATGTTTTTCATTGGCGTTTGAAATGTCTAAAAAACTCAACAACCTTTTTGTTGATAATTTATTATTTCATTTGCTCGTTGCTGTGATGTGAAAAGATGAAGTTCAAATCTGAGACGGCTACCTGTTTCTGTTTGCTCTTTCTTTCCTGATTGTTCTTTCCAACTGGTGCCCTTATAAAAGGTCACAATCTCTTAAGTTATAATGACTTACTCAAGTTATAATGACTTACTAGGTCAAGTTTGGCATCAGACTTCAACCAATTTTTAAACAGAAAGGTATGGAATCTTTTCACATGCAATGATTTTTGTATTTCAGGCCAGCCAGGCTACCACAGCGGCCCAGCCAGTCGGTTTCACAGCGGGACTGAAAGGGGCTGAGGAGAGGATTTCGAATCTCAGAAAAAGTGGGAGTGTTCCTGATGGTCAAACTGTGGTGTCTGTGGAGGGTTTCATCGTTGAGATTTTGCCAGACAGGTTTGTGTTTTCTACTCTTTATCATGTACAGTGGGTTTCTAATACAGTAAATGTAAGGTCAGGGAAAAGTAGTAAATGTAAGGTCAGGGAAAAGTAGTAAATGTAAGGTCAGGGAAAAGTAGTAAATGTAAGGTCAGGGAAAAGTAGTAAATGTAAGGTCAGGGAAAAGTAGTAAATGTAAGGTCAGGGAAAAGTAGTAAATGTAAGGTCAGGGAAAAGTAGTAAATGTAAGGTCAGGGAAAAGTGGTAAATGTAAGGTCAGGGAAAAGTGGTAAATGTAAGGTCAGGGAAAAGTGGTAAATGTAAGGTCAGGGAAAAGTGGTGAATTTTGGTCTGGTAGGAAAAGAGTTAACAGACCAAAATCTTTCTTCTTCTTCTCATTCATCTTTGACACATTACACCCTAAGGGCCTGGACGGGAAGTCCATTGTTAGATCCTAAGCAAGGGGAAGGAACCCACCTCCCGAGAATACGAGCGTCTAAAAAATCACATTTAAAATATACTACACAAATTCCAAAAATCCTGAAAAAATGAAAGTTAAAAAGCAAACTGAATGTAGTTTCAGAAAAATATAACTTGATGTATGCGCAAACTGTTGGAAATGTTCTAACTTTAGTTCAGTCAGGGTGTCCGACCCGTCACTCTCACTCTCGGCCTGGCGGTCAGGCCCTAGTTCTAAATTCTAGATTTTCTACGTCTGATCAATCTCAATTGCCCCAAACTCTTGCTACAGCGTTTTCTTCAAAATCTGAGTCGTCTGATTTATCATATGCTTGGTTTTGCTCAAATCCATCGTTATTTCTGTTTTCAAACTCAATTGTGTCGCCTTTCAACAAGTCGAGACACCTTCGAAGTGTCGATAACGCGATCGCACTTCGATCCGCTCTAATACTAAAACTACTGGCCCGAAAAATTTCATTTCGGTATTAAACGAAAGAAAAAACTTTTTGCAATAACTATGCAAATCAAAATCTCGGCCCCAGAGTCTGCGAGACTCTGTTTCTAAAGACGCTAGGTCGGCGCGGATGGTTCCGGGCGAGTTAGGGTGGAGCACGTAAAGGAATTCCCGGATGATCGCAGGCAAGTTAGGGTGTAATTTGTTAAATGGACGTCTCGGTCTCTAGTGCGAAGATTGCTGTTCGCTGCAGGTCCTTCAGGCTTCCCCATAGAGTTTTGGTTTTCTCTACCCAAAGTTGGGCCAATATTTCTATCTACTTCCCTCGAGCATTGATCAGGTTTAATTGGTCACTATTAAGGACAAGCGGGCTAACCCAGATTTCGGGAGTTTCCAGAAATCTTGACCTGCACTAAAAGTGGGCATTGGTTTCATTGGTGTGGATATTTGTTTGGTTATAGGGAAAACTCTCCTGGGCTTTTAAAGAAACTGAACAAGGGGCTAAAACTTTACCTCCGATTTTCTCTAAACAGCATTTTTCGGGATAGCCCCCTTGTGCTTCAAAGCGACCAATTTCTTCTTTTTGTGTCTTTGAACATTAGAGAGTTATAATGTGCTATATTTATAGTACAAGTGGTAACAAGAGAGAACTGAATATGTGGGCAAATAGTATAAGGGTGATCTTTTCTTAATAATTTGTACTCAAGGTTTCCCGAAAATTGTATTGCCTCATGTTGCTGAATTCTGCGATATGGCAGAAGATGGGATATATTGGATATGCTTTTGTCCTTCTTCTGTCACAGAATTTAAAATTTAAACGACCATAACGCCTCATGGTTGCTTTTGTTGGGTTGACAGGTGGTTTGAGATGAGCTGTCTTGTACTGAAAGATCCTTCTCATGGCATAGAGCTCCAGACATTCTCCCAGCCTACTCTCATCCCAGCTGAGTATGTGTTGAAGGCTCAGGACAAGACACCCTCAGACTACCCTTTGAAGTAAGTAACATTATTGTGCTCTGTTGGCAGGTAACGTTTACATTTGTAGGTACAGGATGGTGAATGTTCTTGAAAGCTGTTTCTGTGGTTCTTGTTCCTTAATTTTTTTAATACTCTCCTTTACAAAGTAGATGATCAATTGGTAGGCTACTTTTTTCCCCCACAGTATTTCATTAAGAGTGACCTCATTTAGGTTTTAAGTAGCCCAAATAGGCACAGCCCTTATTTGGGCTACTCTAGCTCACATAACCAAATATCCCTCCCCTCTGAACTCAGGAGGCTAGTAGGTTGCAACTCTGTGTCTCTGTAATTTCAATCTAGTTTGTCTTAGCCTCATAGCATTAGTGTAGATAAGTAGAATCTAAAATTCCAGACCTATTGAATGCTGAATGTAGATCACATAAAATCTAGATCCAACGAACCTTAATTAAAGTTCATCATGTATACAGGGAATCTGTTGTTAAGAGCAATTGAGTTTGAAAGATGTGAACATAGAACCGAGGCGCTGCTGAATACAGAATGTGTCTTCAGACACAAGTGTGATGTCAAATTTACTCAAGAGTCTGCATTTCCTTTCAAATCTCAGGTGGGCTGGTCTAGCAGTGACAATCGGAGAAGTTATTGAGGAAGCTCAACCTCACATCGGCCATGCAGACTGGCAAATGGTTTTGTCCGGCGTCTCCAGGCGACAGTCTCTCCTCCTGGCGGCTCAGAGTCTTGCCTTCATGTATAAGGAGCGTCTTCCTACATCTTTTGTTTCATAGAGGCACATTCTCCTGTGCTTCTCAGGTCGATCATAATGAGGTTTTTGTCTGCTAAGAATGAAGCTGTATAATGGCCTCAATTCAATAGCTAAATTGTGGGTGGGGTCTGAATTCGACCCTCCTCCCCAATCCTCACCCCCCTATTCTTTTTATAATAGATTCTACCCCTCCTGAAAATGCTATTTTTGCATAACATGCAGAACAACAATGGAAATTTAGAGCAATTTTACAGTTCCATTTCTAGTGGCCCGAATCGAATTTTGACTGATTGTTGATATATTTTGTTCTTTTGATGCATCATGTTCAAGGGATGAAGTGAGTGGAAATATTTTCATTCCTCTGAAGTTTGTTGGCAGGGTGAAGAAAAATATTTTACCTGCAGGGTGGACATGTGGATCATCTTGAGGGTATTTTATAATGATGATAAAGTGATCTTTACAAGGGAACATTGTAATTGTATGCTACATAAACTCTGTGTGTAACTGATAAATGGAACATGTCCCTCCCGTTTATTTCCCAGACATTTTAAATCCCTTTTTTGTTGAGATATAAATTGTGATACACATGTTCTGTCAACTGTGAAAGTTTTGTTGATACAAGTTTCATCCTGTTTGGAGCACATCTTTACTGATGTTGCTCATTGAGCATAATTTTAATCAATGTTTTTGATTATTTGGAATTGTGACAGTCACTGCATGAAGGACTATGTCCTCTCTCGAGTTCGTTTTGACAAAAGTTAATGCCGTATTACCTACTAAGTAGGGCATATCGAATGTTAGGTGCTTGGTCCCTTGACTGAACACTGGGCGTGAAAGAAGCGTTCAGAGAACGAGATAAAATCATCCCCCGTTTCCCAGGGTTGTATCTTAATGCACCAAAGCGACCACTGGCATAAAAAATGTAGGCCTTATTGTAAAAATATTTGTCCACATTTTGATATGAGGTCAGTGCTCTCTCGGTTTGTCCTTCTCAATGTGTCTTTGATATTGATTTTCATTTGCCATTTCCTGGCGATTGTCTTGATACTTAAGTGGAGTTGTGATTGTTTTTAAAAAGAATGCAAAAACATGAATCCAATCAACGCTATTTTTCCCGTCTGACACTGCAAAATTGATATTACTATGCAGAGAGAAAGAAATATAAGTCTCCAGTAAGAGTAAAGAAATTGACATTAAGACCATCTTGTTTTAAAGATTTGTTGCCTGTGCATGTGCCTTCAAGAATATTGTCCACAGCAGTCCTATTTATTTTGGTGGAATTTAGCAATCAGCCTATAAAAAAAAGTCTTGTGGTCTTGTGAGGATTTTGCGTACAGGGCATCATAGTCCAAGGAATGTGAAGTACTGAAGGAAATGAAAGGAAAGATCTTTAAAACACTGTTGCTTTGGAGAGTTTCAGAATACAATAAACTTTTACTCCTCGTTTACAAATCAACAAAAATCTTGAAAATTTGATTGTTTCAGATGGCCATTTTGCTTGCTACTCTTTGTAATAATGGAATAAGTGACATGAGTGGCTGACAATTTGCAAAATGGTAGAAGTTTTTATTTGGGAATGGTTTACAAAGACAATAATCTACACTGCCTGTAAAACTAAAATGGCAGTGGACAGGCATTCTTGATTAAGGGTGAATATTGAGGGCACGTTGTCAGTGTTGCATTGATATTATTTTTGTCAATATGGTACTTAGTTTGTATTATTTGTTGAGTTGGCGGCTAAAAATTTAGAGAATGAACCTGTATTCTGTTGTCCTGCTATCACTAACAAACTTAAGAACTTGGCCTCTGTTCGCTATTATGTTTTTATCTTGTATTGTTTCTGTTGGTGAATATGGTTCTTTTTTATTTTCTATTTCAAGATCTGTGGTAAAATCTGTTTTTCAGCTCAGTCTAAAATGCTTCACACTAACCTCAAAGTGTGTCATTTTTTCAAAAGTTTACTGTCTAGTTGTTGTGAAAATAACTTTCCTTTATTCCTTATTCATTTATGTTCGCATTGCATGGCCATTTTGTTTTCTTTAATGTGTGATTTGAAAATCCCTGTCATATTTCCCCTTTAGTAGTACATGACTCGTTTAGGATGCAACTTCTCAGAATCCATTTAACTGTTTCCTTTATTTTGGTTTTACAGTTGTGATACTTTTTCATCTCACTTCTGAGTTTCTCTAAGCAATTTTACCTTTATGTCAGTAAAACGATTGTTCGTAAGTAAAATGATTGTTTATGTCTTGAGGCTTATGTTGCTAAAATTTTACACGCTACACATGCAATAAGACCTTCACATTTTCTATGCCGCTTTCAAATTCATAAAATGTTTATGTAATTGACATGGGAAAGAGCAGAAAATATTCAATTGACTCTAAAGTTTCTTAATTCAGGCAGTTTTACTGTGGGTGGTTGGCTGATGCTGTGGTGTGGTTTGCTCCTTCTTTCCTATCAAACATCTATCATCCTTATCTCTCTTCCTCCTCTTTTGTGTATATTACTCTCTTGTATCACCTCTAATTGTCGGCACTTACATGACCTAATTGTGTTACAAGTGCTGTTAAAATCTTACTAAAACTAGAAAAAAGCAGTTTCACTGTTACAGTGCTAGCAATCTTTTATTGTCTCTACCACTTCAGCACACCAGCTGTAAGTTTTTCTTCCCTCAGTACAATAATATATATATATTATATATCCCCTCCCCCTCACCCCCAATTGAATTGTTGTGTCCCCTGATTTGTTGAGAATGCCAAATGAATTTGAGAGTAGGTTTGAGGGAATGGCAGCTGTGTGTATTTTTCAGTGCTAGTGCTACGATCCCGTTTCATTTCTTGGAAATGGTATCTAGTTATACTGATCCCATTGTCTTCTTTGTTTTAGCAGCCCCTTTGATTTCTCAGATTAAAACATGACGTATCTCTACACCTTTAAAATTTCCTATTTTCTATACAAATGTTTCTGTACTTTCTTTACATGAGGACTATTTGTTTGTTTAATTTTGTTAAAATGTTCAGAGTGCATGATTAGAACTTGCAGGCTTGCTATGACTAGCATAGATCACTCGCAAAATGATTTTGCTGTGTTCAGGCTTTCTTATTTCCCCTTGCAAGGCTGTACATTCTGAGCCAATACTCTGTGGAGGGTTCTTACGCAATAAACAATATGAGCTATCAATGAAATACAGATCTTTATGATTATTATATGTTTGATACCGCTTTATAAGGTGAGTAAAGAAAGAACTTTCCTCATTTTACTTGCGACAGAGGTAGTGTATATGTGTCGCGACGCAGTGGAATCAGGCGCTCGTCAGTTTTTGGCCATTTGGAGTTATTGATATAATAATCTTAAAGCATGTTTAGTTGCCTTGCTTTTGGTGAAACAAAATAGCCATCTATGTTGAACGCAAGTCGAAATATTTGCGATTGAAGGAGGTAAGGGTCGTCCGATTTCAAAGGTGAAACTAGCGAGAAAATGGCCTCCAAAGTTTGGTACTTTCCATAGCTTGAAAATCCTTGGAAACTGAAAATTGCAATTTTTTGTGAAATGAAGGATAACACAAAAAGTAATGGAAAGGAAGATGCTGGGCATAGGAATACAAGATCAAGTATAACACAAATAAATTCAAAAGAAAACAGGAGTAGCAGATATCCCCATGGAAATGAGCTGGTCACCTCAGTAGAATGTCACAGATCGTGCCCCCTTAGTGACAGAGTTCTAACTCCACTTGTGAAGACTGAGTAACACGTATACACGGCTGACACAGACGCACTGCATGGGTGGTTGGTGGGTGCTGTGGTGTGGTTCGCTCCTTCTTTCCTATCAAACATCCGTCGTCCTTATCTCACCTCTTTTTTTTGGTGTTTGTTACTCTCTTGAAGCACAATCTATTCTTCCACACTTATATGACCTTATTGTGTTGCAAGTGCCGTAAAACTCTTACTAAAACTATTTTTTTTAAAAGACGCACTGCACGCTGCATCAAAAGGCTCCATCTGACTTGACATTTTTGGGGAACTTTACAAATAAGGTGCAAAGACATTTCACATGAGAATGTAAATCTTTGAATCCAATTTTCACTTAAACTATATATATATATCTCATGGAGTCAGAACTAGGCCAGGGCAAGATCGACTCTGGGATCGATTCTTTCGACTCCAAATGAGGACTCAAAGAATCGATCTTGTTCCATGTTCCCAGACTCTAAGCTTCGACTCCGCCCAGGGTC